GGAGACGGGAGACGGAGCTGAATGGATAGCTAATTTAGGCTTTCTGGCTGCCACCCAAGGTGGCAAAGGCCCCTATCTGGATGTCACCCACTAGAGGAAGTCTCCCTTACGGATCAGCTTGGGAAGCTGATGTGGCATTGAAAGCAGGCTGCTGAACAAGCTCATTTCCCTCTTTCCAGGTTGGAAACCTCCTTCATCTGCCTGCCGACCCGCTTCCTTAACGGATTCACAGAGTGTGGCGCTTAGGGGGCCTCCAGAGGATGTTGGCTTGGGATAGAGATGTAGCATCAGTCCCCCACGTCTAATGTCTACCTAGCCCTGGCCTCTCAAAAGGCTATGTGAAGGCTGTGCCAATGGCTGTGCTTCAGGCACAGAGCCTGTACTGGGGCAAAGGGCGTGGCCGGGTGGTAAGCGCTTGCCCAACACCCTCAGAGCCATTCCGAACACCACTAGGTTTGACTTTGTTTGGTTTTTAATAATTTTCCACCTGTCTGTTCACGCTCTTCAACAGCCTTCTGAGGCTTCTTCTCATTACACACGTTCTACAGATGAGGAAACAGTCTCAGTCAGGAAACCTGGTTTGAGGGCTACAGCGGCCTCTTAGTACTAAAGCAAGCTCAGGTCTCTCACTTTCCCAGTGCTCTGGCAGCAGGAGGCAGCTGGCACAGCTGGCAGTGGGTCCCTGCTCCAGCGGGCAGCCGATGGGGTTATCATTTCTCTCTGGATGGCCAGGCTTCAGAAAGCACCCTTTGATCTCTGACTCAGGTGACCAACTGCCATGGTAACATGACTCCTAACAAAGTGTTCATCTCTGGTTTTGTCCTGTAGTTTTTATTTGTGTGTGTGTGTGTGTGTGTGTGTGTGTGTGTCCAGGTGTGTGTGTGTCCCAGGGCAACCTGAAGTATTATATTCTGGAATCCTGGTCCCTCATTGACCAGAAACTCACCTGTTAGGCTAGACTGACTGGCTCACAAGCCCTGCGGCCTCCCCAGTGCTGGGACTGCAAGCACAGCCTACCATACCCAACATTTGCAAGGTAGGCACTTCCATGGTTGGTCATTTCCCAAAATCCTTTCAGTTTTTTGAAACATGATCCTGCTGCCTCTGCTTCCCCAGGGCTGGGATTAGTAATGCACCGGCACCACCACCTTTAGATGCTCACCTCCTTAGAGCCTCCCTGGAATCACATCTTCAAGAACTAAGCGTGTCCTCCAGTGTCTGATGCTGACCAATCCTGACCAGTGCCCCTGAACACTTCCAGGGCTACTCCTTCCTACTCTGTGTTGCGAGTGTGTGCGTGTACATACACTCAACCTATATTGTTCCTCAAGCTTGAAAGATGCAGGTTAGGTGCACCACCAGGGAGACACTTTGTTTTCTCAAAGGTCCTGGAATCAAAGATTTAAGGTCTTGGGTTTAGTGTGGAGGTGGGATGGGAGTTCCCAGCTCAGTTGAATTGCAGCTGTAAGCCCAGTGTGAGGGGCAGGTCTCCAGGCTTCTGGAGGATCTTCCAGAAAAGTGGGCCCTGCAACCAGCCCCTGTTTTTCCTCAGTGTCACCACAGAAAACCTCATGTGTTTGGAGTTGAGATTGAAACTGGGTTTTGTTTTCAAAGCACATCATGGCTTTTCACCTTGAAGTCGGAGTTCTTCCCCAGACGGTCAGGACCTCACATTTCCTGGGCAGGCTGGAGTCAGGGCCTGGGGCAGAATCTGCTGTGATTACCGTGGCCAAGGATGTGTCCTTTTCCTCCCCAGTCTTTATTTTGCTTAGAGTATTTTGTATGCTTTGTTTTTCTTATGTGTGTCTTATGTGCTTGTAAATTTGCTGGCAAAACAATAAATAAAAAAATAACGACTGTTATTTTCTCCTGGGTTTGTGTTTGTTTTGGCAAGTGTATGTATCTAATCTTAAGGATGCTAACTTGCCCAATTTTTTTCACCTGTCAGTACCATCAAGAAAATATGGCTATCACTGAGCTGAGAGCAACTAGGAAGGAGTTTTAAAATTAATCAGGCTGGCGAATTTCTGGTCTTTCTCCCTGCTTCCCCCCCCCCACCCCACTTTCTCTCTGTCCCTCCCCCTCCTTCCCTTTCCTTCTCCTCTCTCTCTCTCTCTCTCTCTCTCCCCTCTCCCTCCCCACCACCACTGTTTCCCTGTCCTCCTGTCCCCATTCCCCCTCCCCAAGGATCTCATGTAGCCCAGGCTGACATTGCAGAAGATATCCTTGATTACCTGATCCTCCTACCTCCACCTCCCAAGTGTTGTGATTATAGGTAAGTGGTACCACATCCAGTATTTTCTGGGATGGGATCAAACCCAGGGATCCGAGCAGGCAAGGTGAATGGCTACCAACTGAGCTTCAGCCCCAGCTTCTCTGTTTGTCTTTTCTAGGACTCATCAGATGGACACAAGCGATAGAAAACTGTCATGTAAGAAGACCAAAATTGTTCTTTCAACAAGAATGAAATGAAAACTGAGTGACCGGATAGCAGTTGAGTTGGCGTCCATGGAAGTCAACATTCTTTGTGGAAATACGAAACCATGGTGCATCACGCTACCAGCAGGACCTTGGAGCTAAGCAACTGGGAAGGTTAAGTTCATGTGGCTCATGACTGTGGGCTCTGCTCTGCTACAGCTTTAATCCCTCGACTCAGGAGCTGGTGGCAGGAGGGTCAAAAGTTAAAGAATTATCCTTGTCTACACAATAAGTTCAAGGCCTGCCTGGACTATAATATCAGAAAGAAAACCATGGGAGCGCAGGACAGTGAGGAAAAGGAGAGGGGGGAAGAGAAAGAGAGATACAGAATGGTGGCAGGAATTGACATGGTAGGGAATCCACGGAAGGCTGGTGATGTAGGTAGCCTCAGAACCTCGGGTCTGAAGGGACAGTGAGGCTACTGATTGGCAGAGAGAAGACCCAGAATGAAGCCATTCATGGGACACATCCCAGGGCCCAGCAGAAGGACAGACCAAATACTTGTGCCTCTGGATCATCCCAGGAATCCTGGTCCACAAACAAGCCTGTCTTCTTGCCCAAGATACTGGCCACCTTGTGTGGTAGGAGGGGGAAGAGGCAGGATGTAGGTGTCATAGCACTAGACCGAAGGAAGGCTAGGCAATATGGCACCTCTGCTTTGAAGCCTCAGAAAGCCCAGAGTGAGGTGTTAGGAGGCCCCACCTACTTTATCACTTTCATCTCCTGCCCACTTACCCTCCCAAACCTGTCACACTTCTGCCCACACAACCCCCAAGCTACTGCTCCCACCCAGGATGCTTTGCTCCCTCTACCACAAGCTCTCTGCACCTGTGCCTGTACTCGTGGTGCTGCAAAGCTGCCGGACACAGCTGTGCAAGCTGGCCACCACACAGGGTGTTGCTTCCACATGGCGGACATGACAGGCGTCTACCAGCAGTCTCTAGCAGGTGGCAGGAAAATGCATCTGTTTTCTTTTAATCACCTATACGTCGGCGCCATCTGGGCCAGCAGGGCTCTGCTGTTTGCTCTTCCTAGAATATAGCCTTCCCCCTATGCTTCACGCTTCACGAAGCTGTCTTCGGCTCCATCACTTGAGCCTCTTCTCTTGGAAGATATCCATAGCAACACCCTTTTCACCACATCCGGCTGACGTCAGTCAATGCTAACTGTTGATAACAGGAGTCAATAATGCTTATAGAGATTTCCGGAAGACATGGTTCTGGGTGGACATGAGGGCTGAATTGATTACTCAACAGTAATGCTCCTTTCAATCTTTATTGTTTAAACAGGAACATTAAAAAAAAATCAGTTGGTTTGTGTTTTTCTTCGACACTTGCTAATGAGCGACTGACTCATGTCAAGGGCAAGTGAGCTAGTCAGGGAGACTGTAGCTGTGCTGGGACTTAACACACAGCCCTCTTTACACTGCGTTTGCTCTCTTCGTGAGACTGCCTTCTGTCTATAGTATCTGAGGTTGAGTTTCTGCTTCCTGGAGTGCTATAATAATGTTTTATTTACAAATCCACGAGTCTATTGGATGTTCCAAGTGCAAATGCACTCAGATCATCTGCAAGTCAAGCAGAAAGTCACCTGGGGAGGATGAGAGTTTGATGGGCAGGCCCTGAAGCCAGATCACCTGAACTGGAGTGCAGTCACTCACTGTGGGGTCTTGGGCAAGTCTGTTCCCATCTCTGGGCCTGATATCCTTCACATGTTCAGCTGGAAGGATTATAACGTGAATCTAAAGTAGGCTGAAAGCTACAGGGAGCTGTGTGTGATGAATAGCAGCCAGGCGCAGAGGAACACCTGGTGATCTCAGCACTTCTGAGGTTGAGGTGGGAGGGTCCCAAGGTCAAGGTCAGCCTGGGCTACTAGCAAGACCTTGTCCTTAAAACTTATATGTGTGTGTATGTATGCATGTATATATATGTATATATATACACATACACACATATTATTTTATGTACATGAGTGTTTTGTCTGTATGAATGTTTGTGCATCACAAGCATCCCTGGGGTTTGTGGAAGCCAGAAGAGGGCAACAGATACCTGAGGACTGAAGCTATAGCTGTTTGGGAGCCACCATGTGGGTGTTGGACATTGAATCCCGGTCCTCTGGAAGTGCAACCAGTGCTCTTAACCACTAAGCCATCTCAAGAGCCTCTAGACCTTGTCTTAATAAATAATTAAATAAACCAACAAGCAAATAGGTTGGGGGTGTTGCTCAGTTGGTAGAACTCTTCCCTAGCATGTGCAAAGTCCTGCGTTCAGTCCCAAGTGGCATAGTAGCTCACGCCTCTAAGGAGAAGGCAGCTCAGAAATTTAAGGATATCTTCCACTACACAAGGGGTGCAGAAATCCAAGGTCATACTTGATTGTACAGGAAACTTGAAGCCAGCTTGGGACATAAGACCTGCTCCCTCCCTCAAAAAAAAAAGAAAGATCTTTGAAGAGATTTCTGTATTTATGATTGATTGTTCTAGTTGCTACTACAAATAGATGTTGCAGGTGGGCACACACTATTCACAGACCCAAGGGTATTTTGGCTGTAGGAACCTTTTATTAGCAGGGGGAGATGGGACAGTTTGAGGCAGAGAGGTCTGCAGCGGGGAGGGGTGCAGCTTGGCTCACTTGGGAGGCTCTGCGGTCAGCACCGGGAAACAGCCCTCATGATGCCACTGGTGGTCACGCAAGCGACGCACAGCCTGCATCTGTGGCTGAAAGGCACCCCACTCATTCCAGTGTCGGAAGTCGCCAGGCTCCAGCAGATACTGATAGCCGCGGTAGCCTGGGTACTGGTAGCCGACCCATCTGGGAAGAGAGTGGGAAAGGTGTAGAGACAGCCAGGGTGCTCCCTCTTCCCCAACCTCTCTCTTGTTACCCATCTTGCAGCTAGTGTCCCAGGAGGGTCCACACACCTGCCTTGCTCGGCCTTTCCTGCCCCATGCTCTGGGGAATGGCCTTCCCATTTCCGGTAGGCCTCAGTAGATTCTCCTCTGAAAAGTGGGCACTGTCACTTGGCTGCTGTTTTGAGTACGCTTGGGGACCAAATGAAATAAATGCCCCCACTGTAGACAGTAAGTCCACACCCACGGGTCCAGGAAGGACAGAATTCAATACATGAATCTTGAGCTCCCAGGTGATGAGGACGAGGCATCAGGAGCCATGTCTCCAAACCTGAGTGGCCCTTCATACGTGGCGGTCTCTCTGACTACTGTAAGCACTGTCCAGTGTCAGATAAATAACCTAGAGTCAAGTCCAGAACCTGAGCCCTGTGGGCCTCAGTTTACTCTCTGGGAGTGGTGATGGCGGTGATACCTCTCGCTCCGTTTCTGGGACTCATTTCCTCTGATGGCTGAGTGCAGCACAGAGGCTCCCTCACCAAAGAAAGGGGCACTCAGCGATTCACTCCACGTTCGGTCCTTGCCTGAACACAAGCCAGGTCTTTTGCTTGCCCTTGGCTGTTTTCTGTAGAGAAAGAGCCAGATCCCGCCCTGTTCCTTCCACACTGCTACAGTGGGTAGTCAAGGCTGGACCATGTCCTCACTGTACAGAGCACACTGGTGTCTCTACTGCTGGGCAGAGGAAACCCCTCTAAGCAGAGAGTGGCCTCAATCCAAGCCTTGCCTCTGGGTGTCCAGCACGTGGCAGGCTCTCAGACAAAACTCAGAATTCTGAGAGGAATGGATGAGGTTCAGGGCGGAAGGAAAAGGGGGCTAGGAAAAGGCTACCATCCTGGAAGCACTATAGAAAGGCAAAAAGGACATTCATTCACAGGGTCCATGACTAGAGACAAGGCCACTGACTCTCCCTAGGTTCTTGAAGAAGTAGGATAAAAGGCTCTGCTTGGGAACCTCAGATGCCAGGAATTTGGGTGGATGAGGAAGCTTCAACCACGCATTGTGCAGCCAGCAGCACGCAGGTGAAGATGGGGTGCCATCTTACCCAGACACCTCTGCTGGAACTACCCTCTGTCCACATCAGCTCTGGCCAGGGCCACATTACTCCTGAGCAGCTGAGAGTCTCTCCACTGTGGGCTTTAGTACTTAGATGGAGGTGGAACTTGTCACTTGCCACAGAAACATGTGATCTGTTGGCAGAACCCCAGGACCCAGTCCGTCATGGAAGACTCTCTGTGTGTGTGTATGTGTGTGTCTGTGTGTCTCTGCATATCTATATGTATGTGACTGTGTGTGCCTGTGTGTGTCTGTGTATATCTATGTGTGGGTCTCTGTGTGTATGTGACTGGGTGTGTATATGTGTCTGTGTGTATCAGTGTATGTTTGTATGCATGTGTCTGTATGCATGTGTGTTTGTATATATATCTGTATGTGTGTGTCTGTGTGTGAATTTGTACATGTGTCTGTGTGTTTATGGGGGACGGTTATGAGGTCTTTCCCAGAGACCTGATGTGACATTTCACCTCTGGTGGCCTTAGCCTCTCTCTCTGCACTTGCTATGAGGTCCAGGACCTGGTTGCTTACGTGCCACCGGAGACGGTCACGCTGCCCACACGGTCACAGAAGCCATATACCCAGAGGCTGGGCACGTCATCCTCTTGGATCTCCATGGTGTTGCCCTTGAAGTTGGCTCCTTCAAACAGGCAGATCTTGTGCTCCTGGGAGTCCTGGGGAGGCCAAGACCAGTCAGAAATGGAAGCTGGGGTGGGTAGAAGAAAGGGATGAGGAGGGACCCCTTGGACTTGCCCAGTGTGGACCCTCCTCCTCTGGGAAGAGAGGATAATGGCTTCTACACCTCAGGTGCCCAAGGATAAAATGGAATCATCCATACAGGCTTAAGTTCTTATGGGGAAATGCGTGGCATCACCTTGCAGCAACACAGAGGCCCAGAGAGGGCAAACATATTGGTTTACAGCACACCGCCAGCAAGGGATAGTACCTTCCAGAGAAGTATCATCCCCAATTCCCAGCAGTCTCTGAGGTATTGGGAAGCCCCTTTCAATGTCTCTTTATATGAATTCTAATCAAGTGAGCTGCAATGGACCGTAGTTGTAGAAGGACAGACAGATGGAGCGTGGATCTGCATTTGAGCCCGAACTGTGGTCCTTATGCCCAACATTGGGCATTTCACTCTGTCCTGCAGGCCTCAGTGTGCTCTCCTATAGAGTGGGTTTGCTGCCACTTCACCCCAGGACTGCGGGTAAGAGACTTTGTGGTTGAATGATAGACCTGGAAGAGACTGAGGTGCACCCTTGAATGCCAGCATAGAAGAGTTCTGGCTGGAACTGGTGTTCTTTTGGTTGTTGATTTTGCTTTTTTTTTTTTTTTTTTTTAGTGCTAGGGATGGAATCCTGGTCCTGCTACATGCTAGGCAAGTGCTCTGCCACTGAGCCCCAGCCTCAGCCCCACTGAGTTTTAAGAGGTGAAGTGCCATGGGGATGTGTAGCCAGCAGGGCGGAGCGAGACCTAGCCCATTGCTGACGAGCTGTGCAGCTTGAAGAACTTCATTTTCCATGCTTGGGCCTCGGATTTCTTATTGTTACAATTAGTGTTGTAATGGCTTCTGCCTACTAGGGCTACTTTACAAATTCCACAAAAGGAAGAGGAAGCGCCGAACATCCAGCAGGTGCTCGTTAAAGGGGTGCTTCATTCAACATTGTCACCTAGCAACGGGGGGGGGGGCAGGGCACAAGCACATCCTTTCGTGAGACACACTTACGTGGAAGACTGTAAGTGAAGTAAGTTAGTTAGCTCTCCCAGAGGGAAGAGCAGTGGACCAAGGGAGGAGTTAAAGGAGAAGGGAAATTTAAGAGGGACTGTGTACGAGAGCTAGAGAGCAAAGTAGGGCAGAGGTCACAATGAGTGGAAGAGAAGGGATAGACAGCAAACATCCTTGAAAGAGGATTGTGGTGTGAGGTGGGGATGGGGACACTGGAGACAAGGTCGCTACTTAATCAATGCCAGTGACTATTACCTATAACTATTGCCATCTTGAGGACCTTGAGGAGGGTCCAGTCTGTGGCTCCCTATTGCAATGCAGGTGAGACCTCATGGTGCCCCATAAAGCCCTGTGGGACCCCACCTTGCAGACACCCCTTCTCACCCTGTGCCTCCACCCCCGGCCACTCCTGCTGCAGTCAAGTGATAGTGTGTCATTTATTCAGCTAGTCTGACCCTGCTGCAGGACTCTGACCTCACTGGCCCCTGGATTACTTTCCCTACAGCTGTCCTTGGGCCAACTCAGCTAGTTCTCAAGCGACCCTCAGGTGCTGGCTGCCCTGCTTACTGCCAGGCCTAGTCTCCCCGCCTACCAACCTACCCCAAGCAGCACAGACCAAGGTTTCTGGTTACTGATGGGCTTCCAGGGCCTGGGGTGGAGTTGGCAGAATCAGGCTACCCTAAACTGTCTAATAGGGTCTCAACCATGTATCTCTGACTGGCCTGGGATTTGCTTTGTAGACCAGATTGACTGTACACTCTCAGAGATCTGCTGCCTCTGGCTCCCTGAGTGCTGGGTTAAAGGTGTGTACCACCACATTTGATCCCAATGGTCAGGTTTTATTTGGGAAACAACTCTTTAATTTCATGAAAGCGGGATGAAAGGGAGGCGGGGACGCAAGAGTGATGTGCGTGGGGTATGCTAGGTGCTCGGGAGAAGGACAGTCACAGGGACACAGACGACAAATCAGACAACTGGACCACTTCCCTAAGTGTAAAAGATCTCCTGGCGTGGGGCTGGGGTGAAGGAAAGGGGCTAGTGCCCCCAGCGGCACCAGATTCGGAACTAATTTATCTGGAGTGGGGCTGGGGTGAAGGAAAGGGGCTAGTGCCCCCAGCGGCACCAGATTCAGAACTAATTTACCTGGGGTGAGGATGAGTGGTAAGAGTTTTAAATTTTTTCTAATATATTTTGTCTAAACGTCTATGTCTAAAATATAACCATAATTTTAATGTTAATGTATCACAAGAACACAATCTTTTATGCTCATGAGAATGGTATGGTGGTGTATGTAAAACCAGGAGAGTGTTATGGCTCGGCTCCATCCAGACCAGATCAATTTCACAGGCTCAGCAACTACTTAGGATCTGATTGTGGTGCAGCACATCTCTAACCCTGGGAGAAATAGGAAGCCTGGGCTACAAATGGCTAGTGCCTACTATATCAGATAGCAACGTCTAGAGCAGTGGTTCTCAACCTTGCTAACGCTGAGACCCCTTTAGTACAGTTCCTCATGTGTAGTGACCCCAACCATAAAATTATTTTTGTTGCCACTTCATAACTGTAATTTTGCTGCTATCATGAGTCGTAATGTAAATGTGTTTGGAGATGGAGTTTAGGCAAAGGGGTTGTGACCACAGGTTGAGAGCCATTGCTCTAGCGGTAACTTCATGGGCACCGTCCTCCTTGAGCATGCGTCTCAACTGCACCCATTCCACAGATGGGCAGATCAGGCTGCCTAACTCACAGTGACGCATTAGTAACGCCTCATAGTCCTGGGTTCTATGCACCTAGCATACCCCACGCACATGAACACACTTTCTTCACAGACATTTCCCACCTCAAGAGGTGAGAGTCAGCACCATCCAAGCCAGGCATGCATGAGTAAAACGTAATTGGCTCATGACTCATAATCAATTCATAATTCTGGAACAACCATGCAGGGCTATCTTCACGATCTAGATTCATCTTCTTTACACCGATCTAAACATCACTAAGCTAACTCAGCATTAATTGTCACAACTGTCCTTCCCAAAGTCCCTTTCTCAGTCACTTCGCAACTTTCTTCTTTTTTCTTTTTGCAACAGGGTCTCGCTTGTAACCAAGGCTAGATCTGAACTCATAACCCTACTGCCTCCCCCTCCCCTGTGCAGGGACCATGGGCCTGTGTCACCATGCTTCCCTGCTCACCATAGACCGCTGTCCCAGTTCCAGCCACTCACCATCCTGATGGGCCGGAAGGACATGAGCCGGTCACTGCGATAACTGCTGCTCCAGGTGTCCCAGCGGGGGTACTCACCCTTCTCCAGGACAAACATCTCCCCACGGAAGGCAGATTGCTCAAAGGCCACCCAGCTGAACACAAGAAGGACCAAGAGGGACAGAGACGGGAAGGTTAACACATCAGCAAGTTCCCTCCCCAGCACAGAGGCCCAGGCACCAAAATGAAAATCCCAAGTGGGTCCAATGGGTCTAGGCTTTATTCTGTGCTAAACCCCTTTCTTTCCTAAGTGCCTTCCCCATCCCAGGCTTCATCACTTCATCTACACTAGCATTTTCTGGAGTTGGCAAAGGATTAAATGAGACACTATTTGTAATTATCTGAGCAAATTATTTTAGCCAATATGGGATTCACACAGACTTTAAATGCTATAAGGACCTGGGGCCAACTAACTAACCACGAAAGATTTTCTTTTAATCTCACTAATAACTAGGAGGAAGTCACTGCTTGCTGCTAATGTGATCCTGATGCCTACTGGTCACTTCTTTCCAACCACGTGAACAACAGGCACTGCTTCCAGTCCTTCAGGCCAGGGTATGAAGTGCTGCTTTGGGTTCAAAGCAAGGCTTCTTACAGGGACCCATGACTTACAATGGAACTAGGTTTTAAATTGCTAGAGTGGTGTAAGCTTGTGTTCAAATAGAACACAGGAGTTGGGCAGGGTGATGCAGCCTGCAATTCCAGCACAAGGGAAAAGCAGCAAGATCATGATATCTGTGGCCAGCCTGGGCTACATAGTGAGACCCTGTCTCCAAACAATGAAATCAAAGGAAGCAAATGTGAGTAGTCCCAGAAGTCCAGATAGGAGAGAAAAAATAATTCCCATTTTCTGAGAACTAGCCTGGCAGGTGGGAGGGGGGGCTGCAGAAACGGAGCGTGACAGTGAGTCTCAGACACCTGGTGAACTCTCATGACGTGACGGCACATGTGAAGGGTCTTTCACAGGGGGTAAATTGGACATTTTTCACTGTGGTCTGATTAGGAGGGTTAGGGCAAAGATTATGGGGGGAAGGGTGATCCTCAGTCTATGTGTGTGGAATTCTAAGGGACCAAGAAAGAACCAGTGGAACACCGTGTTGTCTTCCTGAGGGCTACTGGGACCTTCTCACCAGAAAGATGGCAATGAGGAGACACCCCACGAGCCTCAGGATATTGTCTGAGAGATGAACCAACCACATTAAAGTGACAGGAAGAAAGATGTGAACTTGTCCTCAAAGAACACTAGTGAGGTTTTGTTAACAGACTGGAGAAGAAGAGGAAAATAAGGCTGGTTGGCCGGCTCACTGAAAGGATGGATAGAAGGGTAAATGTATGTATGTATGTATGTATGTATGTATGTATGTATGTATGTATATATGTATGGGTAGGAGGATATGGAGATAAATGAATATATGGATGAATGTGTGGGTTGATGGGTGGATGAATAAGTGGATCAGTAGATGAATGAATAGGTGTATGAGTAGAGGGATGAGTAGGTGCATTCGTGAGGACAGGAAGATCAGTGTGTAGATGGCTGAATAGTTGGATGAATGAACAAATAGGTGATATGGGATGGAAGATGGATAAAAGGGAATAATGGATGGATACTAGACTGATGGATTGGCCTATAGATGGATGTGCAGATGAACAGGTGACACATGTGGCGGACAGAATGTGTAGATGGGGAGGGAACCTCAGAAACTGGTGCCACACAGGTATGAAGACCAGAGACTCTGGGAAATGACAGACTTGAGTTCTAATCCCAGTTCATCATTGACTTATTCACCATGTGATTTGGAGCAGTCACGGATGATGGTTAAACATCAGTAAAAGAGAAGAAGTGACTGCATGCACATTCCTGAAAAGCTTGAGCGTCTGGAGCTAGGGAACTCCTGGAGCAGACTCAACATGAAGCTCACACAGCAGCTCGTCTATGACTAGCGAGGAGGAAGCTACTGCTTATATAAAGACGAGGCAGGTGTGGTCTAGTCACCTGCTCCTCTCCCTCCACCTTCCTCTGTCCTCTTTGGATAGCCCATGAGGACTCAATCAGCAGCGAGAAATGCCAAGTAAGTGTCCCGGTGCCCATTCTCATTGCCTATGACTCATCTGAGCCACAGGCAAGAAAAGGAGGGCAGGAATCAAATGGAGCTTCAGCCCTGAGAGGTGGTGCCCAAACATGGTGTTGGGTTTCAGGCTGAGATTTCCCAGGTAACGTCTCTCTCCTCCTTCCCCTGCTCATCCCCTCTTCATCCTTTTCTTCCCACACACCTGCTGACCCTGACAGAGCCCTTGCCCCTGGATCTCAGGCCCACATCTTTCCGTTTGGGGTACAGCCCCTGAACAACAACAACAGCCGTCTCTCCTTTTGAGGAGAGATACTCTGGCTTTGAGTCATCAGCATCCCAAACATTCTGAAACCTCAAGATGGCCACATCCAGCAGTTTCTGTCCCAGATGGGCTTAGGGAATGGGTGGGACTGACTGGGGTTGACCACACCAGGAATGGAGTGGGCGCGAGAGGCATGAGTGGCCCCCCAAAACAGAACGTAGACCACAGAGTGCTGCTGAGACCCACAGGGAAGTAGTAGATGGCCATCACTGTCGCCTGTCATGCTTGGATGTCTACAGTGCCAACCCCTGTTTCAGAATCATTCTTCCTCTTACCGTTTCAGCTTCAAGGAAGCAGGCTTGGAGACAGGACAAGATACAGGAAGGAGTGAGCATTGGAACCCAAGTAGGTCCGATCTCAATCTGACCTTGAACTCAAGCTGGGCCTTCCTTTTGTGCTGTGGGCAGCTTGAGATGCTTTAAACACTGACTGGCCATTCCCCCTGGGGATTTCATGGTGGAAAAACAATAGCAGAGAGGACAATGGAGATAACCCAGGAGAGATAGTTTTCTGCTTCTGAGAACCGGGAGTAAAATCCAAGAGCCTGTGACAGATGTGGATGCTGCCACTCAGCATGGGTGACCTCACCCATTGACTAAGCCCTCAGTGCCAAGGTCTCCCTGTCTGTTGACTGGGGAGTAGGGTAGCCCTCTCTCAGACAACTTGGTGCTGTTATAGGTGACAAGCTATGCACCTGCATTTTACACTACAGATGTTTGGGAGAGGGGATGTCTGGGGACATGTGGTTCCTCCCAAGGTAGCCTTACAGTGCCAGGTCATCTCTGAGTCTCAGTTTCCTCAACTGTCAATGAGGGAGTACCATACCCCTCCCCCCAGGTGTGCAGAGAAGCTGGGGAAAGACCAAGGGGTGACTACTACTCAGGCACTCTCCAGGCAAATGTAACTGTTTTGTGGTAGAGAGTGTCCCTCCCCGTCCAGCACTCACGGTCCTGAGATGACGATCAGGCTGCGCACTCGGTCAAAACCACGATCCCCCAGGTTCAGGCACTCCCCGGAGAATTCAACCCGACGGCCCTGAAAGTTTTCCTGCTCGAAGACGACCAGCTGTCAAGAGAAGCCCCCCATGACCGGGGAAGATTGAGGGGTGACCTGGCTCCATGGTCCTGACCTCCAAATGAACAAATCTGGTGGACGAGGGGCTCAGATCCAACAACTCCTGAAGGGCTTGTGTCAATCACTGCCAGGATGCCATGACCCTCAGTTTGTGAATGAGCCTGCTCCCTGTCTTCCCACGTCAGTACCATGGGCAGGTGCAGAAATGGGGACCCGTGTCTCCCATTCAAGGTCTCCCTATGTAGCCTAGATTACCTGGAATTTATTCTGTAATCTGGGCTAGCCTTAAACTTGGGATCCTCTGGCCTCCACCGCCAAGTAGTGGGACTAATTGTATGTGTGCCACCGGGCCCAGCTCTTCGAGTTTCTTCTCTGCGTTATTTCTCAGTTAGGCATGACCTCTTCACCAGGAGTCCCCAACTTGGATCTTCCACTGCCTAACTCATATTCCAGGCTACATACATGGCCCTGACCCGGTTCTAGGTGCAGAACCCACTTTCACCGAGAAGCCTTCTTGGATTGCTCCTGCTCTACACTGGGCAGGAACCGAATGCCTTCCACTGTGGTACTCCTCATAGCCAGGTACAACTCTGGGAAGTCACCACTGCCTCTGGGTCTCCCTCCTTCCCCGCCTCCTCCACCTTCTCTTCTTCTTCCTCTTCCTTTTCTTTTCCCAACCTCTACCTTCAAAGAGCTCCTTCTGGGCAGGGGAGATACGAACTGTTTCCTTATTTGTGGACCCAAATATAGGTAATGCTCACTCAGCCCTCATTCGTCTCTGCAGCTCCCATCTGGATTTTTGCATATTTTCTGCCCCAACAGCAACATTACCATTCAGTGATGTCAATGCACCTATCTGGCACCAGGTGCAGGTGGCAGATACTTAAAGTTGGGGAGATTATGGTAGGGATAGTGTTCTGAGGGACCCTTAGGGCCAGGTAGAGGGTTTCCATCAAATCTTAGCTTATATATGGATTGTGGGTTTGCAGGTAGGTATACGCTACCTTGTTAAAAAAGTAATCTAATGATTAAATGCAATGACATAAATCAAAACCAGCCACATCCAGGCCAGATGTGAGTCATAAACCAAGTGTGGCCAGGGCTCTACCTGAGGGTAAAACCACCATAAATCAAACCCCAAGGACAGAGAGTCTGGCTCTCCAGGAGCCCTGCAACTTGGACTTAGGGGAAGAATTTCCAGGAAAATCAGAGGTCAGCCTGGTGGCCTGGTGGCTCTCCTGGGATGAGTGGTCCCTGCCACCAAACACACTCCCCTCTGGTTTCTGGCTTTGCCAACCACTAAGCTCCTATGTACAGTCTGGCCTGGTAGCAGGCATCTTGCAGCAGGAGGACCACTGAACACTTCAGGGAATTCCCTTTCCTTCCAGGCAAGGGTTCTGGGAACCCTTGAGGTTCCCAGACTGTCTGGGAGGGAGAGGTCATGGAGGATGGAGAGCAGGCCAGGGAGGATGGAGAGCAGGCCAGGGATGGTGAAGTACAGGTCAGGTAGGATGGAGAACAGGCCAGGGAGGATGGAGAACAGGCCAGGGAGGATGGAGAGCAGGCCAGGGAGGGTGAAGTACAGGTCAGGTAGGATGGAGAACAGGCCAGGGACGATGGAGAACAGGTCAGGGAGGATGGAGAGCAGAACAAGGAGGATGGAGTGCAGGCCAGCGAGGATGGAGAACAGGTCAGGGAGGACAGAAAGCAAAAAGAGTCAGAGGAAAGAGAGCATAGGGAGGCAGAGACTCAGAAACACGGAAGGGAGAGAAGATCTGCAAAGGAGAGAGAATGAGGATGGAGGGGAGGAAGGGGAGGAGGGATGAGGAGAGTGTGGATTGTAAAGCCTCCCCTGCCCATCCTGTCCTTACCTTATAGCTCCCAGGAGGCAGGTCCCCTGTTTTGGTGCTGGGCCTGGGCACAGAAGCTGGGCCAGGGGCCAGGCCAGGGGCTGGGGCTGACCCTGTGGTTGGGCCCCCCTTCCCCTTGCCATCAGGCCCGGGGTTCACCGCCATGGTAGCCACAGCCTTAGCAGCCTGAGACATGGTTCCTGATGCTGCAAAGAAAAATAAATCTTTGGGTTGAATGATTTTGGGGCGGCAATCCCAAGTGGCCTCTACCCTTATGCTTCTCACCCGGTGACAAGGCTCCTTCACAGACATCGACTCCCCCTGGGAAACAAGACACCCTGAAGCTGTCCCTCTCCTGGGCTATGTCCTTCCTTCAAGCCCCACACTCTGCTACTCTCTTCCTTGGCCCCTTGTGCTTGTTTACTATCACATGTGTTTGTAGCAGGCTTTACCACATCAGCTGAGTGACAGCTCACTCAGGAGTGTTTCATCAAATACAGTAACAAATGCCTCACACCCACCTTAACTGTGGGCTGGAAGGGGGGCGCGTCTGGATCTCCTGTTACAATCTAGATAGAGTAAAGGTGCCCTGCCATCTACAGGGCAGTCGCCTCCCTCCTCAGCCAGCAGATGGACAGGCACCTGGGTTACTAAATGCAACCTTGTAAACACTTCTATCTAGGACAGCTTGCTTGGCTCTCTGCTAGAAGCATGGGAGCTGCTCAGCCAATATCTGTTCAGAAACTCAGTGTAAGTGTGTGTGTCCTGAGCCTCTCCCAACCATCCGCCCCTGGCGTCCTCTGAGGGCAGATGTGGGTGTGCAAACATCAGCCTGGCACTTGGGTTTGGGAGGTTTAAGAGGAGGGAGTGGCGTGCTTCTGGCACTCTCCACCAGAACTGTGACTTGTGACCTCAGCTCTCCTGGTCCCTCAAAAAACAGACTTCTTGGCACGGGACATACCTGATTGCACTATCCCCTGGATTCTGTTGATAATTTACAAACCACTGGAGTACTGGGGCCCAGAGAAAACTCCTTTGGTCTAGCTGGGTTCCCAACATCTTCTCTCTAACTGGGCGAGCGCACACCTCCCAGCCTTCTGCAGGAGGACTGGCTGCTCAGTTGCCCACACATCTGAGCCACATCTGGGGCTTTCAACCACCCTCAACCTTGTCTCTGTCCTCAGAGGCCCCTCCTTGCCCAGCATTGGGTTCATTCTCCCTGCCCCTCCAATCTGCCTCTGGCAGAATACTTTTATCATTGCTTGTCTCTCTTCTTCCCTTCCTCTATTTCTGTTTTGTTGTTTTAAGAGAGGGTCCCTCTCTGTAGCCTAGGCTAGTTTCCAGTTCTCAGCATCCTTCTGCCTTGAGAGAGGGCTAGACAAGTATGCACGGGCAACAGCTCTGGTTTTTGCTTCTTCCCAGTGTCTGTCCAGTTCTTCATCATACTCTCTCTTTCTATTTTCACCCTTCTTCCCTTTATTTCCACCTTCCCCCAGTTCTCTGGCAGTGTGGCGGTCCCCTCTTACCTGTGTTGGAGGCAGGCGGGTGCTGTGGGTGCCTCAGGGCCGACCCCCCATTTTATAACCTGGCAGACACTAGGGTCTATAGTGTGCAGTACAAAGAGGTAGCTGGCTCAGCAAGCTTGGACAGGCTCCAGGGCTGGCTCTGCCCCGGTACTGCACAGGCTAGCACTTTTCATTGTGAGCCTGGAACACAGTGAAAGCCTGGCCCCAACCCTATTCTGACTCCAGTGTCCATTATCCTGACTGGAGGAGGCCCAGGGCCCTGCTGGCTGCCAGCCTAGGGTAGGGAAGGGGCACCAGGTAGGAGGCAAGCTGAATTAGAATCCTGCCTCAGGGCCAAACACAGAGCACAGCTTCAGAAGTCTCCGTCTACAGGTACAGGTGACATGCCTCCCTGTGGGATGCTATGCAGAACTGAAGAGAACACTGCGTTTGAACATGCTCCATCAAGACAGAAGGGCTCTCAGTTCACAGCCCCATTCCTGAGCACTTCTGTGTGTTTGCAGCCCCTGGCCTTGTGATTGGCTCAGAAGCAAGCCGCCCCACCCTGGCTCTTACTGCACTGGCTTCTTAGTTGTGGAAGGCTGGGTGCAGAGGTCAGCACTGGCCAGAGGAGGCAGGCAGGCTCTAACCCGCACGCTTCATCTCAGGCCATCTGACCTTGGCACTGACTGAGGTCTGCCTGACATCCTGTTTCTAGTGTGGTGGCGTGGGCTGGATCTCAGGTTTAAGGCAAGGCCCTTCCTAACTGCCCATCAGCTTCCAGGGACTGAACCCAGGACTGCTGCCAGGGTGAGGAACACGGAGTCTCTGAGCAATCTCACACCCCCCATGGCTGGGTAAGGGGCCAGCACTTCACACATGGCCTGGACCCTCACAGGTCCCCGACAGCGTGAGAATAAAATATGGGGTGTGGGGGGGGGAATTCTAGTGTTCACTAGAGGGTTGGGAGACAGGTAATGGACAGCCAAGGTGAGGACAGAGATCAAAGGGTGAAGCGTGATAAGCAGGAAGGGAGGTGGAGAAGACTACAGAAGGGAGAGCTGGAGGGAGCCTGAGGCAAGAGAGAAAGCCGGCTGGCCATGTGTCCTTGTGGGCCAGTGAACTCCAGCAGGTGGAAGGCAGATGGTCCCCCATTTACCCAAACAGACGAGAGCAGCTTTCACCCTTGTCCACAGTGTGAACCCCAAGTGTACTGAGGCATGTCTTCAGCCCCAGTGGGATACTTCTTCCTCTGAGAAACCCTTCTTCTTTGGGAAGTCCAGGACCCCCACACAGCCTAGCTCTATCTTGTGGTCACTCTGGCCTGGGACCAACGCTGGCCCTGCCCCTCTGCCCACGAGTCCCTCTCCCTGCTAACCTCCTCTCTGCCTTTCATCCCAGGCCAAGTCCTTGAAGGGCAAGCTGGGAACACAGGATGGGGCAGCCACTGTGTGTCGGGCCAAGATGCCTGTGGTGGGGGCCACCCACAGATCTGGGCTTCAAGGGCAGGATCTCGGGTAGTTTCGTCCCCCTACCACCCTGCCAATGGGCAGCTTGCCAGAGGTTCTGGGAGATGCGGAGCAGCCTCTTTGCTGGGCAGCTCTTCTCTGAGCACTTTGTGACTCTGCTGTCTGCCTTCAGATGAACCATTTATAGACAAGAAGGTGGGTGGCTCCTTTGTCCCCTCCCAGCCCTCTTCCCCATGTGGAATTGGCACTCACACTACCCTTTTATCTCTTTTTAGTTTATTGAGATAGGGTGTAGCCCAGGCCGACCTCAAGTTCTCTGTGTAGCTGAGGTGAGCTCCCGCCTCCACATCCCAAGTGCTGGGATTTCAAGTGTGCACCACCATGCAGGGCTGTTCCTTCTAACCTCCCAAGTCCAGACTCTTAGACACTATGAGCTCCTGCTTTGGGGGAACTGGCATTTATAGTGATAAGTACTTCTGCTAGCAAGGATAGCAGAAGTTGCCAAGACCGAGACAGCTAACAGCTATTACACCTGTGCTCTCGGGCTAACCATTAACATTAAACATTTTTTTATTATGCATGTGTGTGTGTGTGTGTGTGTGTCTTCATGCGTGCCCACATGGAGTTCAGTTCTTTCCTTCCATCATGTGATCCTCAGCACTGAAGTCAGGTCATCAGACCTGGTGGTAGGTACCCTTTGGACCATCTCATCGGCCATCAGTCCTCACTTTGTCTTTTTGTTTGTTAGTTTTCCAAGACAGGGTTTCTCTGTGTAGCGCCGGCTGTCCTGGAACTCACCCTGTACACCAGGCAGGCCCTGAACTCACAGAGATCAGCCTGCCTCTGCTTCCTGAGTGCTGTAATTAAAGGCGTGCGCCCCCACTGCCCGGCCCACTTTGTCTTTTCACTTCCATTCGATACGTAAGTGCGGTTCAGTTGCATCAGGACCCTTCTCACAGGTATGGGGTGCAGGACCAGGCTGCTGCCTGTGGAGCCTGCATCCCATTCACCCTTTGCCAAGTCCTGCTTGTGTGACAGCTCTTTTGTCATTTTCAGGAAGGAAGAGATGTTGCTGTTTCCTGCCCATCAGGGAACTCACTCTTTATCTGGTCACCTCACCCAGCAGCAGGAGTGAGTTTTACCACAAGCAGTTCCTGCCATGCTACCTACTCTTGTGACTGCCCTTCTCAGGCTGTCTCAGAGGCAAGGCTCAGGGAGCCACTCGGGTGTTTGTCTGCCATGCTTTGCTCTGTGAAGCATGTTTGCAGGCCGCAGCCCCTTGCTTCTGCATGCACAGACGCTTCCACAGGGCTTGCAGCTGGCACCGGCTCTGGCCCTGACTAACACTCTTTTTTTTTTTAATTGATTTTATTGGGCTATGTATTTTTCTCTGCTCCCCTCACTTCCTCTCCCCTCCTCTTCAACCCTCTCCCATGGTCCCCATGCTCCCAATTTACTCAGGAGATCTTGTCTTTTTCTACTTCCCATGTAGATTAGATCCATGTTTGTCTCTTAGTGTCTTCTTTGTTGTCTAGATTCTCTGGGATTCTGATCATCACTCTTAATTCCCCCTCTGAAGATTTGTGCTCTGTCTCCTCTGTATTTGCTGTCCAAAGCCTTTGCCCCGTGCCCCTGGGGTTTTGCTTAGACTGCCCCTTCTTCCAAGCCACTGTGGAAATCGTCTCTATCCTTTAAATGTGTGGCCTCAAGCCAGAGCCTGATGCCCAACTGGAAGAGGCAGGGGCATGTGGAGTGGTGGGGGAGGGCAGGCACAGCAGTCTTGAAGTCTGGCTTATGTCTGTCCTACCATGCAGACAGACAGAATGTCACCCACTGTCAAGGTGATGCTGGGCCCCAAGTCTAGGGCTTTCCTAGTCCTAGTCAGGAGTCCCGTGGAACTGATGGAGGTGGACGGTCTGCCTCGTATCTTCTCTAGTGCTGGCCCTGGGGCAAGCCACTCTTCCCTCCCTACTAAAGCCAGAGCTGCTGACATGTCCATCCTGGGCCTTGGCCAGGACTGGCTTTTGTTTCTACCGCTGGCTTGCTGAGTTTGTGTTTGTCCCTCGGGGGCCCTGTCCCTTTCCTGCCTATAAGAGCCTGACTTTGCCTGGTCCTGCTTCTGACATTTGCTCTGGGCCTTTCTTGGTAAGTCTGGGTGGGAGGCAGGAGTGGAGCTGAGCTCTCTGATGGCATCGTTTTGGGGATGTCATTGATCACCCTAAATGCCATCACAACCCAGGTAGTCTCTGGATGTCCAGACTGCTGCCTGTTACTCTTATTTAAATGCCAAGTTGTTTTCCCCTCATCATTTTGTGTTCTGTGTGTCCACTATGAGAGCCATACATCAGGCTGGTGCTGCACTTGTGTGTGTGTGTGTGTGTGTGTGTGTGTGTGTGTGTGTGTGAAATGTGCTTACCGCATTCCACCCACATAGCCATAGCGGCCCCACTGTGAGCTGGGGATGGAAGCGAAGAGACCCAGATGTGGCTGGGAAGATGCCATTTGCAGATGGGTGGGACGGGAAAAGGGTCGCTGTAGTCTGAGAACACCCAGACCCATCCGGATTCTGCCCCTGCTTCAGTTGAGGATGTGCCTGGGAATCAGACAGAAGGTGACTGTGTTCTTCTCTCTGTAGGACCAGGCCAACATGACCCTGCAGTGCACCAAGTCAGCCGGACACTGGCGGGTAGGAAGTGAGCATGTGTCCTGGGAGGGGAGGGAGGAAGCCAGCTAAGATCCCCAACTGCAGCTTCACGGGGGAGGGGTACCGACTCCATGCATGCACCCAAGTTTCAGACAGGAAGTCACACATCTCCTGGTACTCACTGCTGAGTCACGTCACACAATCTTCCTTCTGTATCTCTTTGACCAAGCGTGGCTTTGGAAAGAGAAACTAAAAGCTGGAAGTGATGGCACACACCTGTAATCCTAGCGCTGAGGAATTGGAGGTCGGAAGCTTGTAAGTTCAAGGCTAGCCTAGGCCTCATGAGATCATAGCTCAAAAAAAAAAAAAAAAAACCTTTGGAGGAGCCACATGAAAGTCTTCCATGAAGGCCTTGAGAAATGGAAACTCTGCTACATTCCCACCTGATGTCAGTGGGAGGTGATGGTGGACAGACGTTGTCTGTACTCTGGGCCTGTGCTGTCCAGGGCCACGTCATAGTCCACTTTGCTCACCACCTGACCCAGGAGGCACTTGAGTATGTGACCTTGGTTGACTTGTTTGGCTCCACCCTGAATCCAGGGTGAGACCCTCAGTGCTTACTGAACCCTGATGCTCACACATCTCCCTTCTTTCCTGCGCAGATGGTGGTGTGGGATGAAGAGGGCTTCCAGGGCCGACGGCATGAGTTCACAGCTGAGTGTCCCAGTGTGCTGGAGCTTGGCTTTGAGACTGTGCGATCTTTGAAAGTCCTGAGTGGAGCGTGAGTCTGAGGATATTGAGTCAGGATGGGGTAGGGGCAGGAAGGGATCTAAGGACGGATGCTAGAACCTATCCATGTTCCCAGATGTACACTTTAATTGTACCTATGTGCCCCTCCCATGTGCAAGAGAGAATGCAGGGATGTTGAGTCACAGTAAGGGACACCATCACACAGTCCCTGCCCACTAGATGAGGCATCCCCACGGGGTTTGAAGATGTCCCTCCTAGACATAAACTGAAAGTTAGCATTACTTACACCCAGATCCTCAAGACTAGCATCCTGCAGCAGCCCTTGCTACAATGATGGGAAGATTTATAAATCTGCTCAATCTGCTTGAGACTCACCAGCCACACATGGCCGTTGAGGAAGAATTTCAAATATATTTTCTGTGACTTAAGAGTTGAATTTTAATTTTTACTTAATCTTAAAGATCAAATGTAATTAGTGGTATGTGACTCATGTTTATTCCACTGGGTAAAATATCCCAGAAAATTAGGAAGAAGACCAAAAGGAGAGTGGTACTTGGTCTGACTTAGAGCCCAGGCTTTGTCTGTGGGTACCTCCCAAGGTCACCTTGGTGGTCTATATAGCATCTCACACCATACCAATTGTTCTTTTAGCGTCTGCTCTACTCAGGTTGGGAAACAGGGCTCAGGACAGCTGCCTGTGTAGGGACAGTGCCCTGCAAGCTGCCAGGGGAGGCTGGACAGAAGGAAAAGAGCCTGGAATCTTCAGAGGGTGACACAAAACAAAAGGGATTGGTAGAGGGTGACTTCCGGGCTTCAGCTCAAGGTGAGACCATGGAAGTCCCTCCTGCCACAGGAAATGAGCAGGAGAGAGAAGCTATCCCAGAAGCCTCCCCGAGGCAGGAAAAGGAGAAACAGCTCAGGGAAGACACTCCCGACCACTCAGACGGTCAAGTTCTGTGTCTGACAGGATCAGGAGGAAACAATGAAACTGAGGTCAGCCCATGGCTGACTCCTGTCTACATGATGTGACCTTTGTGGCAATGAATGTGTGAGGACTTCAGGGCACCTGCCTAGGGCAGTCCCTTTCCTGTTGGACACTTGAAGCCAGAGTGATGCTGGCCTTAGGCAGAATCTCCTATGTTGGGTTTAGGCAGGGTTTCCCACAGTTGGCATTAGCAAGGTCTAGGCACGATTGCTCCTGGGTAGGGTGACCTGGGTGCTGTTCCAGTGTTGGCTTCCACTTACTGAATGACCACTGCACCCCCCCTCCCAAGTTATAAAGTCATAACAACCCAGGTATTGTCAAGTGGCCTTAGAGGCCGATGGCCCCTTTCGAGCCCCGGTCCAGTTCTCAGGTTGGCAGCTCTTCTTTCTTTCCATTTCTGCCCTGTCTGTCTACAGGTGGGTGGGCTTTGAGCATGCTGGCTTTCAAGGGCAACAGTACGTGCTGGAGAGGGGCGAGTACCCTGCCTGGGATGCCTGGAGTGGCAACACAGCCTACCCTGCTGAGAGGCTTACCTCCTTCCGGCCTGTGGCCTGTGCCGTGAGTCCTACTGCCTGCGCCCGGGGTGACCAGAGCCCAGTTCATGGACCCTTGGGGGGATGATGTCCAAACTCAAGCTTAGATCCATCATCTAGAGAGTGATGTGGTGGTTTCTCTCTTCTGTGACCTTAGGGTTCTGTAATTTGACATAAAGCGATAGTACACATGCTGTGGCTGTACCCCAACATGAAACCTCAGCCTGTAGCAATTTTGGTTATGGTGGGAGCCCTTTTGTGTGGTATTTCCCTCTTTTCATGGTCCGGGGCCCCTGGGAAAGCTGGGTGCCAGGAAAGGCAGAACTGGCCAGGAGGCTAGGTCCTATGTATCGTCCCCCAACTCACCATCTTCTTTCCACTGTGCACTGCTGCTGTTGATGGAGCGCGGATGGAGTCAGGCATTGTTCTCCTTTGCCAAAGATGGAAAGGAGATATGGTTGGCTCGATGTTACAGCTGTGGGGAAATGGCACCTCAGAAACACTGTGTGGTGTACCTGAGCTCAGCCAGCTGGCAAAGGGCCGAAGTCTAACCCAGATATTCATACGTTTCTTAAAACACAACACCCTATTTTCCTGCCTGGTCTCCTGCTATGGGACACTTAGATCAGTTATGGTGGACATCCTTGTAGTTTGTTCTGTCCTTGATCCTTTGGAAGGACAGATGCTATGAAGGACAGATTGGCAACGGTTCCTGTTGCCAATCTCAGAGCTCTGGACAAAAGGCTGACTTGGGAGACAAAGGCTGAGTGAGGAGCAGCGGCTCCAGTGTGTCCAGTCTGGCGCCTGGTGGTCTGACCGAGCTCTCTGTTATCTGTAGAACCACCGTGACTCTAGGCTGACCATCTTTGAGCAGGAGAACTTCCTCGGCAGGAAAGGCGAACTGAGCGATGACTACCCCTCTCTGCAGGCCATGGGCTGGGACGGCACTGAAGTGGGCTCCTTCCGTGTTCAATCTGGGGCGTAAGTAGACCCACAGCCCTGGCTGGCAATACAGAGAGATGTGGGCAGGGTTGGGACACGTTCTGTAGAGACTGTGGGCACAGCATGCCAGAGAACACGGAGGCACAGAGGGCACTGCTTGTGACAAGTGGACACCCGGAGCAAGCTGGCTTAGGGACAGAGGATATATGTGGGCCCCTGTGATCAGCTTCAGGCACAGCTGGATCCAGAAGCTGCTGGAATCTGCCTTTCTCCCGATCTCACTCCCCTGGCTCTATTCTTAAACTAGCTCTTCCCCAATGCAAAGACAGAGAGACTTTGGCCTTATGCTCTACTCCTAGCAGGAGTGATAATATTTGCCTTACTCCGGCTAAGTTTCTAGGAAAAGAGCATATTGGCCCAGCGTGGGTCATGTGCTCCCTTCTGAACCAATCACCACGTCCAAATGAATGGGATGCTCTGATTGGATGGCTAGGGTCACATGTTTTTTGAGACTCTTGCTTCAGTTTCCCTGCCTTGACTGGGACTGAGAGGGAGACCTGGTGTGTGAGCAGAAGTCTCTTTCTCCAAGGTGCTTGGCTCCCGCAGGCAAGGATGAGGGCGGGAAGCGGAGCTTTTGTTCAGATAGCAAGGAACCAGATTCAGGTTGTGTTTCAATATGGCTGACACTGTTCTCTGCATGATTCTCTGTTCTGGAGAGAACACAGTGGAGGCTTGGGGAACCCAAGTCAGGAATCCATGTTGTGAATAACGCAAGGGCCCATGTCTTGGAACACCTATGAGAAAGGGCTGGACGAAGAAAGACTTCCTGTCTATCTCCTTTCCTTCTTTATGCACTGGCTCCTCTATGCACAATGTCTGCATGGGGAGACTAGTTCCGGGCTTCCTACACCAGGGCTCACTCTAGGGGAGGCAGCTGCTCATAAAGTAATCTTAAAACTCTTCAGTTTTATCCCTATTCCGGAGGGACAACCACGGCTTGGAGGAGACAGGTGGATGGATAGTTTTGAGGGAGACCATATACTGTGACCCTGAAAAGTGGCTGGAAGGGTGTTTTAGCCCCAGGGAACAGCAGCAGTGAGGGAAAGAGAGAGCTCCCGCACACACAAGTGTAGTACAGGACCACAAAGCCAACCTGGCTGGTTGGGCTTTTCCATGCATTGCTGCCTGACTCGGTTTGGGCCTCAGAGCCCCTGTGTGGTAGTCATCTCTTCTGTTTCCCAGGTGGGTTTGTTCCCAGTTTCCTGGCTACCGAGGTTTTCAGTACGTACTGGAGAGTGATCACCACTCGGGTGACTACAAGCACTTTAGGGAGTGGGGCTCCCACGCCCACACCTTCCAGGTGCAGAGTGTGCGCAGGATCCAGCAGTGAGCACCACGCACAGGCGCACTGGGGGGCCTTTGTGAATGACGGAGTGGCCGGCTGGAGATGTGGCTGCTCTTGGCTACCCCATGCCTCTTGCGAACCTTGCATCCCTGTCAGCCAGTCCCCATGCCCCAGCAGCTCATGAAGCTCAAAGAAATAAAATTAAAAACAGAAGGCTCGGTATCTGTTGTGCTTTTCAATTTTACTTGCCTTCCTGAAGCAGCAATCTGTAGCTTTATAAAATTTCTGTTATTTGTCTGGGTTTGAGGTTTATTTTTATCATCCCCCCATGTGTGTGCGTGTGTGTGTGCATACCCACACCTGTGTTTGTGGTCCCTATGTATGCAGAAGAAGGCTTCTATCCCTTGGAACTGGGTTACAGGTGGTTGTGAGGGGCTGGATGTCGCACATCTCTAGCCCTTTTGTCTTTTTTACTGATTTAGACTTTAATTTTTTATTTTATTTTATGTGTCTGGGTGTCTTGCCTACACGTAGGTCTATGCACCACCCGTATGCAGTGCCCATAGCGGGCAGAAGAGGGCATCAGGTCCCCAGAGACTGGTTGTGGGCCTCCATGTCTGTGCTAGGACCCGAAGCCAGCCGGCTCCTCTGGGAAGAGCCTGGTCAGTGGGCACGCACGCACTCTGTCAGCAGTTGCAGTCAGACCAGAGAAAGGCTCTTTGCCATCCCTTTGAGCCTGACCCAATGGGTGGCTCTGCCACTTCCGTGGTGTCATTTGTGTTTTACAGATCCAGGCCCTTGTCAACAATACACATCAGAGCTTCCTCAGTTCCCTGCAAGGGAGGGTCCCAGTCAAACCCAGAGCTCCCAGATAAAGCTCATCTTTGCTTCCTTGACTTGGCCTTCCCTTTTCACAGGCTCCCACACCCACTTGGCATTATATGGGTTCTGACGATCTGAACTTTGGTCCTCATGCTTTTGTGCGAAGTGCCTAGCCACTGAGTGCTCCACTTTTTGAGAATGTCACTATGTAGCCCAGGCTGCCCTAGGGCCACCATCATCTTGGGTTTTGCTAGGATTTAGTCGTAAAACATTCTGCTTGTTTTCTGTGTGTAAATTACAGGAATTGGACTAAAGTCCCAGGCATCCGAGGCCAGTGGTTCACCCCTGAGCTATAACCCAGCCCCATCTTGCCCTGTCTTGTCTACATCTTCCTCCCCTAAGAATTTTGATAAACCAAGTAAAGCAGTACATGCCTGTTGGGATCAGCCCTCAAAAGATCGAGGCTAGCCTGGATTATACAGTCAGTGTGAGGCTCAGAGAGGTTAGGAAATTTTCCTGAGGCCACCCAGCTTATAAGATCATTTAGCCCTCTGTGGGTCATGCAAAGTTTTGGGGGCATGATGCAGAGACAAAGGGGATCAAATGAGGCTTGTAAACAGTAAGGTTGATGGTTTATGTTTTCCCCTAAGAGTTGAGAAAGTCGGGGCTGGAGAGATGGCTCAGAGGTTAAGAGCACTGATTGCTCTTCCAGAGGTCCTGAGTTCAATTCCCAGCAATCACATGGTGGCTCACAGCCATCTATAATGAGATCTGGTGCCCTCTTCTGGCATGTAAGCATACATGGAAGGAATGGTGTATACATAATAAATAAATAAATCTTTTAAAAAAAAAAGAGTTGAGAAGGTCATCCTCACACTTTTTTACAAGTAACTGTGTCATATATGTCATAGAAAAGCCGTATGCCTCTGGGAGCAAGGAAGGGAATATTGGTGGAAGGAAAAAAGGGAGGGCGAGAGAGGTCACTGGAGTTTGATACCTCTATAGGAGCCAGCTCAAGCCAGGAGGGAGGCTGGCATCTGTATTAAAATATAAGACAGGGGGCACTGAGCTGAACAGAGATCTCTCAACAGAAGAAGTTCAAATGGCCAAAAGACACCTAAGGTCATGCTCAACTTCCTTAGCGATCAGGGAAATGCAAATCAAGACAACTTTAAGATACCATCTTACACCTGTCAGAATGGCTAAAATCAAAAACACCAATGATAGCCTATGCTGGAGAGGTTGTGGAGAAAGGGGTACACTTATCCATTGCTGGTGGGAATGCAAACTTGTACAACCACTCTGGAAAGCAGTGTGGCGGTTTCTCAGAAAATTTGGGATCAACCTACCCATGGACCCAGCAATACCACTCTTGGGAATATACCCAAGAGAGGCCTTATCATGCAACAAAAATATATGCTCTACTATGTTCATAGCAGCATTGTTTGTAATAGCCAGAACCTGGAAACAACCTAGATGCCCCTCAATTGAAGAATGGATGAAGAAAGTATGGAATATATACATATTAGAGTACTACTCAGCAGTAAAAAACAAGGACTTCTTGAAGTTTGCAGGCAAATGGATGGAAATAGAAAACACTATCCTGAGTGAGGTAAGCCAGACCCAAAAAGAGGAACATGGGATGTTCTCACTCATATTTGGTTTCTAGCCATAAATAAAGGACATTGAGCCTACAATTCGGGTTCTTAGAGAAGCTAAATAAGAAGGAGAACCCAAAGAAAAACATATAGGCATCCTCCTGAATATTAACCTTCATCAGGCGATGAAAGGAGACAGAGACAGAGACCCACATTAGAGCACCGGAATGAAATCTCAAGGTCCAAATCAGGAGCAGAAGGAGAGCAAACATGAGCAAGGAACTCAGGACTGCGAGGGGTGCACCCACACACTGAGACAATGGAGATGCTCTATCGGGAACTCACCAAGGCCAGCTGACCTGGGTCTGAAAAAGCCTGGGTTAAAACCGGTCTCACTGAACATAGCGGACAATGAGGACTACTGAGACATCAAGAACAATGGCAATGGGTCTTTGATCCTACTGCATGTAGTGGCTTTGTGGGAGCCTAGGCAGTTTGGATGCTCACCTTACGAGACCTGGATGGACGGAGGAGGGTTTTCCTCGGACTTCCCACGGGACGGAGAGCCGATTGCTCTTTGGGCTGACCAGGGAGGGGGAATGGATTGGGGGAGGGGGAGGGAAAGGGGAGGCGGAGGTGGGGAAGAGACTGAAATATTCAATAAATAAATAAATAAAGAAAGAAAAAAAATAAAATATAAGACAGTTCCAGGTGTGAGGTTGTGTTGGAGTGACAGAGAAGAAAACAGTTGGCCCAGCAGGGCAACCTTGGGAGGGATCGGAGAGCTTGAGATTCTTTAAATCTTCCCAGAGGCAGTTCCCCAAGATTATAAAAGAAAGGCGGTTAAAGTGTTGATGTTACCTGGACCAAAGCAACCTGCAGGCAGTGGACACCAGTCACTGCAAACACCGCTTAGCCGAGAGGACTGACCACAGGGGTCAGGATGGAGGAGCCACAAACCAGTGAAATCTAGGCCCAGAGAGGGCAAAAGACTGCCCCCGGGTGACCTGGTAGAATGCACCTGTGCCTCTGCCCTCTGTCCTTTGTGGTCTCCTTCTGGCTACTTACATCTCTCCAGAAGCATTCACATCAGAGGCTGGATGCTGGGTGGCGCTGGATGCTGGGCCAGCGCTGGATACTGGGCCAGCGCTGGTTAGACCAGGTGGCCTCTAGCAGCTACTCTTCCTTGCCAAGCCCTGGGCTTCCTTCCCCCTAGAGGCACAGTATAGTATAGAGGTCCAGGGATGGATACAGAGAAAATATTTTAAAAATATGCCATGAGCCGGGTGGTGGTGGCGCACGCCTTTAATCCCAGCACTTGGGAGGCAGAGGCAGGCAGATCTCTGTGAGTTCTAGATCAGCCTGGTCTACAAGAGCTAGTTCCAGGACAGGCTCCAAAACCACAGAGAAACCCTGTCTCGAACCCCCCCCCCAAATAAATAAATAAATAAATGAATAAATAAGCCATGAAAGTAAGAAAAGCATGTGTTTTTTGGTATTCTCCTCCCACACTGGTCTCCTCTCAGTGGCTCCTCCCACTGCTGCTCTGAGCCAGTGCAGAGTAAAGACCAGAGAGCAGGCTTCAATGGCACTAGAGGGTTAGGAAGGAACCTCCTCCGCTTGAGTGTGGGAGAGGGTGGACAGCGTTGTTCGATGCTCTTCCCAGGGAACCCTGAACAAATGATCACATACCCCAGACAGGGACTCAATGATGAACCAAAGTTCTGACAGCATTAAAGTCAGACTTAGTGAACTGTGAGTTAGTTCTACTGGTGTCACTTACAGGAGCAAAAATGACTCCAAGGCAGCTGTGTCACCAGAGCCCATCCCAGCACAGGTGACAACTCACAAAGTTGGGAACCTGGAGCACAGTGCACAGCCTGCAGGCTGCTAAACAGCTCAAGAGTGTCCTTTCCTGGTGCCTCAGTTGGTCTGAGCCTCTTGGGGATGGAGGGGCCTAGTGAAGCTGCTCCTCCGTTTCAGGGACTTCCTGAAGCTGTTTTGAGTTGTTTCCTTCTTGAGCCCAAGGGACTTCTCTGCAGGATGGAGTAAAGAGCCTCCCTCTGAGATGGAAGGTTCTTACCTTAAAGGGACCTGCCACACAGCAGGAAGAGGGGGGGGGGAAGAAGGAGGGAGGGGGAAGAAGAAGAGAGAGGGAAAGGCAAAGAATAGGAGGAGGAGCAGTGGGGGAGCCTTCCTCCCCCTCCCAGTGCTGTTGTCTCCCGTCTTCCCCAAGAAGGAGCTGTGCACTGTGTAGCTCCTCAGCATGTGGGTGGGGAGTCTGCCCACCCTCCTTCTGGGGCCATAATCACCAGATTAATGGGCAGGAAACCACAGGTGGGTGGGGCCTCCCTTTTCTGCCTACCCATGGCTCTGCTCCGAGTCTTCCCCAAACTTGCCAACATAAAGGCTGTTCCGATCCATGCTTTAGGGAGGGGCATCAGGGGAGCAACAGAAGGGCCACAGGCATCTTTGCCTCCGAGGGAGAGGCTCTATCCTAGCATGCTGTATTGGTCAGGGTTCTCTAGAGTAACAGAACTTGTAGAATGAACCTCTCTCTTGATTTACAGGCTGAGGACAGCTAGTCCAACAATGGCTGCCTATGTACAGAAAGTCCAAGGGTCCAGTAGTCCATGAGGCTGGATTTCTCAGCTGTTGTTCATTATACACTGGAATCTTGATTCTAGTGAACCCCAATTCTAGTGAAGGAATGGACTTGCTAGCAAGGGCTGGAGGAAGCAGGAAAA